CCTCGGCTGCCCAGCTCTGACCCCCTGGTTCCAGAGGTGGCAGAGGTCCACGTTCCCCCTGGCAGTGACGGTGGCCCCACAGCAAAGCCCTGTTCTCCATCCAGGGAGCAGCAGGGCTGCAGCAGCAGCTCGCCTTGCTCTTCACCCCCCAGGCAGCGGCTCGGTCAATTAAGACACCATAAATCAAAGGAGCTCGGTGAGCAATTTTCACCCTTTGATGTCTTCTTGTCTCTAACTGGCCTGGAAAATTCAATTAAGTCTTTGCGTGCAGCAGTCCCCAGGTCTCTCACTCATCTTTGCCGTGCAACGAAGAACGCGGCCAAAATGCAAGGGGGTTTTGCCGCTTGCAGCGCTGTTCCCCGCAGCCCTTCCTCTGAAACACGGCTGCCAAGAAATGCCCTTTGATGGGGGGAAGCCTGCTCTAACACCAGAAATTATTTGATGGTGTCCTCCGGCGCTACTTCAAAATGTGATCTCGCTGCTGGAAACCGGCGGGTCAGCTCGTGCAAAGGCGTCTGACCGCGAGAATAAAGCAGCAGAAGAAATAATGCAGTGGCCGCAATTTTTTTCTGCTTTCCTGACCTACTGGGGACAGGGCTGAAGGGTGCCTAGTCTAGATGGGCACCAACGTGCTGGGCAAGAGCTCCTGGATGGCTGCAGGGACCCACATACGGAAAACATCAGAAAACGGGCCGATCTGCAGTATTTAGGTACATCACAAAGCTTTTCATATGAACAAATAATTGCATCGTTAACCAGGCACCCGAAGGAGCAGAGAAATGCTCCAGCGCGGCTCCGTGCCCCCAAACACGCAGAAACCCTCAGCCCAGCCGTTGCCTTCGCCCCGTCCCATCACCGCGGGGTTTGCCCGTGCAGCCGGTTCCTCAAAGGTTTCCAGTTTGGGGTGACGTGTCTCGGTGCAGCTCGAGCCCCATCCCACCGCTGCTCTCCCTCCCCCAGACACGGGGACGGAGAGAAACCAGCCCCGCGAGACCTTCCCACCACTTCCTGGGGCGCTGGGTTTCCTCCAGCGAATCTCGGGCTCCTTCAGAGCTTTTCTTTCTTTCTCCTGCCATATATCCAGCCTGAACTGATCCCGTTTCGGAGGTCAGTGAGTTGCAGACAGAAACATTTGCCAAGCCGACACCTCCAGCCATTCCCGCCCGAACTGAGCGGATCCTGAAGCCAGGATGCAGGCTGCCACCTTTTGGCAGAACCGAAAAGATTTCACGTTATTAATTTACGTTAATTAAGCAAAGCGATGGAGTATATTCTGTGTTACACGTAATTATGAGACTTGCAGATTTGCAGGCAATTCACTTATTTAAGCTTACATATGACTTTCAGATGGAGTCTTATTTTTGGTTTTGGTCTGGATTTAACGCTAGCAGAATTTATTGCAATTCCAGAGTAACCCCCTATGCCAAACCTAACCCCTACCAGGTTTGGTTTTTTCCAAAACCCCAACCAAAATAACAGGGCCCAGACACAGCGGGAGTTAAATAGCAAGTCGTGGAGGTGAGGAGCCGTGAAGGACCCCCAGGCTGAATACCAGCACTCCCAACAGCAAACCTCACCAGGAAAAAGCAAAGATCAATCTACGGGTAATTCCAAACAGATAAAAACGAAGCTCATTTCAGAGAGAAGGTCTCCTGCAGGGGGTAATTCCAAACAGATAAAAACGAAGCTCATTTCAGAGAGAAGGTGTCCTGCAGGGTACTGCTACACCTCGCAAGCTGCAAAATGAAGAATGATGCATTTACTGAGACAGTCGTGCCCTCAGGACACTTCACCATGGAGGTGCACACAGCTGATTGAAAAGCAGATCCTCTCCCCGCAAACTGCTTCTGCCCTTCTCGCCCACGGGATCTCAGGACATCCGCATGAAAATTGGGAACGAGCTGCTGCCAGCTTACCTCTGCCACCCCATCCGCCGGCCTCGGCGGGGATGCGGAGCTCAGGGATGCTGAGCGGTGCCCACCCCGGCACCCCGCCGGCGCTCGGGGTCAGCCCCGGCTTCCAAACCCC